GCAATGAATGTACAAATGCGCTTTACACAATTGATGTATGTATGGATTGTGCTAAGAGTTTATGAGCCCCTAACAAAATGATAAAAAAATAAAAAACATTTCACTGTGATTTGGGTGGAGGTCTACCGAGAAAATTGGTTTTCCGTTCAACACCCAGGCGCATTTTGTGTTGTGACACTGCTTGCAGCCCCACTTTGTAAGATCGTTACTTCTCACTTCTCCCTGCGCGTACCAGTTACATTCCTCCTCCTTTCCTCTCCTTTCCTGCCTTCTCAACTTCGTTATGTTGTTAGGTGCCATCCAGGAGATTTTGACCCATGGCGACCTCATGCACAGAAGTCCTGCGCCATCCTCATAACTGTTCCTGTTCTGAGCTTTGTTCCTGTGCAAATACTGCCCTTTTGATCTCCTCTGATTGATTGCTTTCAGGTGTGTGCACCTTGGTGGTATCATTGTTTCTTATAGGTCTGCTGACTCCTGGGTGAAAGCTGAGTCTCGGGTACATTTAGCTCCATGCTTGAAGGGTTGCTCAGTCGGGAGGGTGGCCTGGAGGGGCTTCATCAGTGTCTATCAGAGCAGTAAGTCCAGTCATTTTTCCCCCCTCTTAATTCATTTTAAGTTCAACCTCCAGTTGTGTTTCCTACATAAGCGTGATATATATTGATTAGTAATTCACCAAATTCATGTTCTTTTTAAAATATATTAGTAAACAAAACATTCTACCCTGCTTTACAGTTAGATGCAGTCTTGCAACTGAATCCTAGCCCATGGAATATGAATGGTAGTGATATTTCTTCTTCTTTTTTAAAATCATTTTATTGGGGGTTCATCCAGCTCTTATCACCATTCATCCATCCATCCAGTGTGTCAAGCACATTTGTACATATGCTGCCATCATCATTTTCTTTTTAAAAATCATTTTATTGGGGGCTCGTTCAATTCTTATCATATCCATTGTGTCAAGCACATATGTACATTTGTTGCCATCATCATTCTCAAAACATTTGCCTTCTACTTGAGCCCTTAATATCAGCTCCTCATTTTTCCCCCTGCCCCCCATGAACCCTTCATAATTCATATTTTTTTCATATTTTATCATATGTTACACTGTCCAACATCTCCTCCCACCCTCTTCTCTGCTGTCCATCCCCCAGGGATGAGGCTATACGTAGATTCTTGTAATCGGTTCCCCCTTTACACCCCACATTCCTTCTACCCTTCAGGTATCGCCACTCTCACCACTGGTCCTGGAGGGGTCATCTGTCCTGGATTCCCTGCGTTTCCAGTTGCTCTCTGTACCAGTGTACATCCTCTGGTCTAGCCAGACTTGTAAGGTAGAATTTGGATCAGCTATCATCATTTTCAAAACATTTTCTTTCTATTTGAGCCCTTTGTATCAGCTCC